AACGAGATATTCTCTCGTAAAACACGCAAAACCCAATAATATCTTATTCCATTCAAAATCAAATGAAGATAACAAAAGATGGGAGTACTTTATATAAGGCTACTAACCCTAAACCTTAACTTGTCCACCAAGCCACTAAATAATAATAATAATAATAATAATAATAATAATAATAATATTAATTTACACCATTCTCTCCCGGTTTGAAGGTTGCGCCCTCGAAGCCGATGCGCTCCCGTGGCCAGCTTGTGGTGTGGAATCCATGGTAGAAAACCCCGTCGTTTCACCCAGTCGAACACGAAGGTTGAATGTCTCACCTCCATGGTATCACCTTAAAATTCATGGAAATGCATATAGGCAACAGCTACACACAAAATATTAAAGTCACTGTGGGGACCAAAAAAAAAGCATCTATTTGCAAGGTGACAACAAATTCCCGTGGGAGAAAAGCTCGGGCTTGCGCAACAGAAGAACTACCAATTCTTCCAGCAGCTAAATTTTGATAACCAGAACACGATGGTCTTCCTCTAGCCCCGGAGGCTCCTCATCGAAAATCGACGGACCGTCGTAGAGATTGTCCACTTCGTCGGTAAGACACTCCTCCACCTCTTGGGGTCCTTCATCAAACACATGCGAACCATTGTACAATGGCTTGTCATCTTGCTCTTCGTCGAATTTGAGGATGTCCACGCAAAACGAGTCATTCCATCGACCATCCTCGCGGCCAAATTCCCTCTGCACAGGCCTAATTTCTGCATCTCCTTCACATGTCCATAAAACGCATTTGGGTTGCTTATGTTGAGCCCCAAATCACCAACATCGTTGTCGTTCTGAGATTGCGGGGATCGTTGTCGGTTCGCCCCGACATGGTTGCGTACCCACGTCCGCCTCTGTCTCCCCGCGATTGCCATGGCCCACAGCTCCATCGCGATTCGTCTGTAATTCCAAAACAATCATGTTGTTAAGCGTCAAACACAAATCCTCGATCCCCGTAGAAAGATCGGCAAACCAATCCGTGAAACGCACGTCCAATTGTTAAAATCGGTAGTCGATCTGTTGAAACTGATCATTGAATGTTGCGTCACGTCGTTCGTTTGCAGCATCTTGTCGTCCCGGCGGCATCGTATATCGTACTGACTGCTGATACCAACTGATGTAGGGAAGCGTACGAGTGCGACGGATAAAATGAGTAAACGAGATACTGTCTCGTAAAACACGCAAAACTCAATAATATCTTATTTCATTCAAAATCAACTGAAGATAATAAAAGAGGGGGAGTCCTTTATATAAGGCTCCTAACCCTAAACTTTAACTTGTCCACCAAGCCACTAAATAATAATAATAATAATAATAATAATAATAATAATAATAATAATAATAATAATAATAATAATAATAATAATAATAATAATAATAATAATCTACACCACCTATGATAATCATCCATCTTCTCCCTTCTTCTGCACGGCATCGCACGTGCATTTGTTGTTCCCCACAATGTAATCCGCTGTGTCGAATCCACTATGCAATGACCCTCGATTATACGTATCAAATGACTAATGTATTGTAAAATCTACAAGTAGTAGGATGCAACAATAGGCAACATCTATTCCACATAAAGTTTGTATAAACAGCCTGACACGAGAATCCTACGAAATCAAGTGTATTTCTCAGTTCTTTCAATTTAATTAAAAATAAAAAATAACATTAGAATTGAAAATAAATTACAACTTTAAAAAAAATGAAAGATTATCGTCTAGGAAAGTAAACTTTTCCGAAAGATGAATATGTCTCGTGTAGTGCTACGGTTCAGGGGTATCGTCCTCAAAGATATGACAGTGATCATTGTTGTTATGTGATTCCTAACAACGATGTTACAAATGATTAAGATGATAATTATGAACGGTTTGGACGTAAAGCATGTAGAAATAACTCAACGATGGCCCCGGTCCGAGGTGAACCGAGGTGAAGAGCCGTTATGGGCTTTGTTATGGGCTTTTACGTGTTGCATAGAAATGGGTTCGGGGGGATCCCCGTACAAATGTCATAGGTTCGCTATTTATAGTAGCTTTTTTGATGAATACATTGGAATTCGTGTTCTACTTTTCGCATAAAGTAGCTTTTGGTGGGCGGTTTGGAGCTGTGGTCCCCACATGAATGATGACGAACCTCGTAGAGTGTGATAGGAGTGTGTAGGCGCCTCGTCACCTGCTTAAGGAGGTGACGACCTCGGTTAAGGTAGACCTCAGTAGGTATTGATCACTTCGGTCTTCGGTAGTTCGGACCGGTTCACTGTGTGGACCGATGTGGTTGAGGGTCAGATCGGGTCAATAGTTAATTTCTCTTAACATGATGCTTAAAACCTCTTAATGGTGTTTTGCCGAGTCGGATGATAACCGAGGTAACCGAAGTGAGTTGCTTGTTCCGAAGTGCAGACTGTGTTCCGGGGTGAAAACACTTGGTAAAATTCGAGTAATTTGCAGGCAGTCGCGACAGGAGGAATGTGAATAGTCGTAACGGTCAACGATTTAATGTCAGAACGAACGGTCGCGCCGTAATGGTCTTAAATGGGGTAACGGTCGGCTTTAATAGGTTGCCACGTGTAACAGTAGGCGTCTATCAGATGAAAAGATGGCACCGATTGGAATTAGGGGTCGCGTCGGTTGGACGCGCCCCTAATTAAGATCCCCAACGGTCATAAATCGGAAATTATAAATAGGGTTTCGCGATATTTGATCGAGTTTTCTTCACCTTTTCTTTAATTCTTGAGTTTTTGCATCGTATTATCGTTGAAATTCTTCTGAGAGTGAGAGTTCGAGAGTTGTTTCCTGCGCACTGTGTGTTTGCGGATCTTTCGGTGAGTTCTTTTTTCGATTCTTCTTTTATTTCTTTTGTATTCTTGTTTTATTGTGCGATGGCGTCAAAGGGAAAGGGTAAGGCGGTGGCGAGTTCCTCGAGTACGGAATCGGTTCCGTTGGAGGTTTACCACGACTCGAAACTAGTAGAATTTGCATTTGAGTATCACCGGTGGGATCCATCATTGGTGAGGCATCTTGATATCAGGTTGAATGATGAAGATGGTGACCTAGTCGTAGAACACAACGCGGCCGACCTCGTGACGCCCCACTGGAGAAGTCCGGTGAGGAAGTGGCCGGATCCTGCGGTCGACTTTGAGGGTGAACCAAGTATCTTGACCGATGCTGATGTCGTGTTGCTGAGAGAGCAGGTACGGATCCCTCCCTCGGTGAAGATTTTCGCTCCTTATCCCGGGGAGAGAATAACAAGTCCACCTCCGGGTTGTGTGGGCATATTTGCGGACAGTTTGAGGTCAGGGTTGAGATTCCCGTTGCCGAACTTGATTACGGAATACCTCCGAAGTTGGGGGTTACCGTTGTGCCAGATTACTCCAAATAGTTGGAAAAAGATAATCGGTTTGATGGTGTTGCTGCACGAGCAAGGTGAAGGGTTGCCGTCATGCGAGGAAATGAGAAGCATCTTCCTTTTTAAACAAAGTCCGAAGAGGAGGGTTGCTGAGTCCTCATGCTGTTTCTTTGCCGGAGCGAAACCGCAGCACGGCGTTAAGGTTGGAGAAATAATAACCGAGATCCCGGAGAGTCTTCATGGTTTCCAGGAGGAATGGCTATGGGTTGGTGGAGAGTGGCAATCTGAGGGTTTCTTCCATGAACCCGAATTGATGGGATGACAATCTTTATGTTTATTCACTCCGGAGCAAGTGAGTTTGGTTTAGTTTTTCAATTCGGATATATTTTTTCTGATTTTGCTTTGTTCTGTGTACTAACAGGTCGGAACTTTTGCTCTGTGTAGAAAAAGAGACCAAGCAGAAAGAACCGAAGTTGAGTCCGGAGTTCGGTGGAAAGCTGATCACGTTGGCCAGTTTAGATAAAGAAGTTCGAGATTATCGCACGCTTTTGGTAGATTCGAAACTCGAAGCTGCTGGTTTGTCTCTTGGAGTCACTACTTCAACATTTGACCCCGGTAAGAGATTTTAAGTTTATGGTGATTTTGTTGGACTTTCTATTCATGTGGAACAGCTGTTTGTAACTTTGTTCATTTATCATCGGAACGCAGTATACTATCCACTCCTCGGTTTTTTGGGCTATAGCTCGGTTAAAGAGGCTAAGGAGTTCAGGCGCAAGTTTCCGAATAAAGATCTGCAATCTAAAGTTGGTAAGAGTCGAGACTTAAGATTGAACGACGCCATGCGGAGAGATCTTGTTCGTGCGTTGGTGAAGAAATCTGCGGGCCAAAAGAATGTCGGTAAGAAATCGACCGAGGTGGGGTCGAGTGCGACTTCGGCTGCCATTCCGGAGAGCCCGAAGTCCTTGCAGCAAGAGGTGACAACCACCGAGGTGCCGCCAGTCTTGAATGTTGCGGCTATTAGCCAAGCAGAACCTGAACCTGTTGTAGCGGGAACTGAGATGGTTACGGCCGAGGTCGTGCATACCGAAGTGCCGCCCTCTTCTCCGAAGTCTCTGGAGTTGGAACAACCGGAGAGGAGGAAGAAGAGCAAATTGGTGAAGATGGCAGATGTAGGCGCTTCTTCTGGTGTGGAGAAGAGGTCTAAGAAGAAACACGACTCC